TTTTTCTGCTGCTGTCTAGCAGCCTAGTCCTTGTTCATGTCGATGTTTGGTGAAAACTCAAAATCAAGCCTCTTAAACAATTGTTTCCCACAACCAACTCTTACATCAGTTCCCGCCGTCGGAACTGTTGTCACTGCCCCGGGTTCTATTGCCACAGCCAAGTCTTACATCAGTTCCGGACGTCCGGAACTGTTGTAAGCCCCTGGTTCTGAAGTAGCGGATTTAATGGAAACTGTTGTAAGACCCTTTGCCGGCACCAGGGTCGTACATCAGGTGGGGACGTCCCCACCTGATGGTAGCCTAGGAGATCGGCTAACACTAAATTGATCTAAGACCCTGTGATTTTCAGAGGGTCTTAGATCAATTTAGTGTTAGCCGAGCTCCTAGGCTACCATCAGGTGGGGACGTCCCCACCTGATGTACCACCCTGGTGCCGGCAAAGGATCTTACAACAGTTCCCTTTATTTTCGCAGGAATGTAACAGGAACTATTTAATTATACCAGGAACGAACAAAATCACTTCAGAACCAGGGGCTTACAACAGTTCCGGACGTCGGGAACTGATGTAAGAGTTGGTTGCGGGCAATGATTGGCTTCAAAATTTTAGATTTTCAATAGTTTTACTTTCAAATGTTTGGAGATGAGTTGAGAACCTGTGCCTTGGAAGGCTGCATTCAATGCTGGTGACTTTGATGCTGCCATGAAGAGCACCGGAGTGTATAGCGCCGCTGGGAATCTGTTCTGGTGCGATCTGAAGTGGCGGCCGTGCAAGCATGTATTCACGAACCTCAAGGCTGTCAAGGAGCTTGCCAATTTTCATTTTGGCAAGGGGCCCGCGCAGTTTCCATGGAAAATCATTGTGGCCCTGCCTTCCAAGAGTATGAAGGCCAATGAGTTGCCATTGGGGCACTTGCACTGAGTAAGCCCAGAAGAATGTGAGGCTGCTTTGCTGATCACAATCGCCAAGCGAATCCAGGAAGGTGCCACCCAAGCTGAACTCCGCCAGTGGCGAAAGGTGGTCTTGACTTGCGAGGTTCAGTTTGAAGCCTTGGCAACTTCAGACGAAGCATACTTCAGAAGCGTCAACATTCGGCGATCTATCATTGTCGCCAATGAGTCCCTGGTTCGGTCGGCCCTCCAACAGATTCAGGAAATTCTTGAATTCAAACAGAGGAAGGAGTTGACTCTGGCCAAGACCTTGGATGCGGGCACCCTACATCAGATGTGGAACGATTCAGTGATCGCAATCTCAAGTGCCTATACGGACGAGATTTCTGTCTCTTGGATAGAGGCAGGGATGCGAGTCCAAAAAAAAATCCTCGGTGACAAAGACTTGCGCGCCGTCGTTGTGTGGATGGAGGCTTTTTGTGAATCAGTGGTACTTTTTCATATTCACATATATGACGTATGACTGTTTCAAATGTTTTGTTTTGTGTGGCGGCCAGTCAGCTTCATTTCCACTTGACAAGCTGAGGAAACAAACTACGGCAAGAAAAGTCCACTCAATTCGGTCTACTCCATGGACGGTTTGGCCCAAGCATGCAAGACTGTTGATGACATCCGCTGGGTTTTGCTCAGTTTGAAGGATTGCCTGATGTTTCAGGGCTTTTCCACAGCTGACTTCTCGGTGCGGCTGTTGATCGGGAAGAACAAGCAAAAGGGTGCCGTCCATTTGTTTCTCTTCAAGCGGCAATTGTTGAGCTACCTGTGACTTAGCATAGTCGGGGCATTTTTTTATTTATGTGTCCCTGTGTAGCATGTGTTTTTGTTGACTAATCTTGATGCATTGCGATTGTGCCAGAAAAGCGGTCTTAGTTTTGCTCATTGAGGCACACTTGGCTCATCACTCATGGCTTCAAAGAAGAACAGCTCAGCATGTGGAAGGAACTTCAAGATCATGATTCCTGCCGAAAGTTGTTGGGTGGTGGGGGCACGAAGGTGGACACTCAATGGCAGAGTACCAAGAGCGAAAGCACACGGCTTTTGATCCAGTTCATCAAGCAGACCATCTATGGCAGCGCCATGGACCACAATATTCGCCAATCCATCAAGAACACACAGGATCCAAAGGATGTGATCGCTAACATGCCTACCCTCAAGGATGCCATGGATGAGATCCTTGCAGCTATGAAGAAGGAGGCTGGGCCTCAGTGTCCACAGGCAAGCGCAAGTGAGGATCGGAATGTTTCAGCTGATGCGGCCATGTCCACTGTGGTGGATTTGCAAGATTTGGTGACGAGTGAGCAGATGAAGGAGGACAAAGAGAATGAGTTGCCACGATGGGTGGAGTATCTGGAGGAAGTCTTCGACAAGTGGGTGAAGATCATCATCAATGACGCGTCTAGCGTGGAAGTTGGTGACACTTTGAATTCTAGCTGAATTTCAATGTATTCTGATGATTTTTGCATAAAACATGTTTGTTTGCATGTTGTTGCTGTCCAGCAACGCGTATTTTTGGCAAGCCTTTGGCAACTGCTGCGCAGCAGTTTGTGGGGACCAATCTTATTTTTTCTTGCACTAGTTTCAACCCTTGATTTTGTTGTTGGTTGCCTGCAGGAAAGAGCTCGCTGTCATGAAGGAAACCCAAAAGCTGGAGTCAGGGAATGTCATGATCCTATACGACAGCAAGACTGCTGGGGAGTCATCCTCCCAACCCAACGCACGAATGCCTCCATTCCGTGCGAAAAGCTTTCAGACTTGTGTGCATGCCATGATGCGAGTTCGCAAAGAATCAGATGAGGACACAGATGAATCTTTGCCAAGCGGGCACTTGTTCTGTGTCTTCGATGGGGGGCGCAGTGGGAACGATTCTGCGATGATCAATGCCTTCACCACTCCAACCGAGGGTAAGCCTGTGTCGAAGTCCCATCAGCAGTTTCAAATCTTTTTCCAGCAACAAAGCTTGCAGAAACGCAAGGAACGTGTGCGTGGATTCGTGAACCAGTCGGAGTGCCTACATGTGTTCACAAAGGATGCTTTGGACCTCCCACAGAAGAAGAGGCTGCATTTTGAAGACAGCACCACGCATGGCACTGTCATCGGGCCATTCTCAGCGGCGCCCTATGATGGACCAGATTGCTGGCGATTGCAGCCAAGTATCAAAAAAGCATGCCTCGGCTCACAAGGGAAGATCCTGGTTGGTGGAGCAGGACCTTCCGATGCGCAGCAGAAACCGAAGTTTGAAGATGGGGAACCCATGTCTTGGCACATGATGTGCCGCGAAGTCTATGAGGAACTGATCCACAGCTTTGATGCTTAACTTCGCGTAAGAGAATATTTTGCGCATTGGCCCTTTTTTGGTTTTGCCAGCTGCCGTGTTGTTTCGCCACGCCCCAGGATGTTCGCATGATGATTTGTCCCACCAATTTGTGCCACTTGCTGCCCATGGTTTGCTTGGAGAAGCAGATTCCTGTCGTGGTTGCCTGCTTCACTGAAGAGCACAAAACGCACTTGACGACGAAGATCCTCAAAAGCTTGTGGGCGGCGTTCTTGGATGAGAAGAGCGCGCACTATCAGCCCAGTTTGTTCTTTTGCTTTGCGTAAGGATGCCTAAGACTTTTCGTTGAAGATGTCCCGAAATATGTTTTTCTATGTTTGAGGTTGCTTGCACCGGCATTCAAAGCAAGCTGGCGCATGAAATCTGCACAGGTGCAAGCTGCTGAACTTGAAGGTGACAGCCAAGCGCAAACTCGAGCCCGCTGTGAAGAACATCCGGGGCAAGCCGAAGGCCAAGGCCAAGGCGGCCGCAGAGCCAGAGGATGATGCTGTGGAAGATCTTGTTGAGGACACAGAGACAGGGCAAGAAGAGCCAGCTGGCAGTGCTGATGGTGCCGGCGCCGGCAAGGGTGCTGGGAAAGGCAAGAAAGGCAGAGGCCGTGGCAGGCCAGCGCCAGCTGGCAACGCGGAAGCACGAAAGAAGCTTCTGGGAAAGCTCATGGCCAACTTGAACAAGTAGTGGTTGTGAGTATAGCCCAAGTACAGTCAGCGCGCGCCACCCCTGGATTTCAAAGACCCTGTCAATCAGAAAAAACCTCGAGCTTGAATTTCATTTTCTATATTCCATCTTCGCTCATCTGGTCTTTGTTATGGCAGGACGCATGTGTCATTTGGATCATGTGTTGGTGGCTCTCGCTCAATCCCATGCAGCGTGAGTCATGGAAGGTTCATGACTCGGATAGCCTAGCAACTTTTGCGCAGCAGATCTTGCCAAAAAAAAATTACATCGTTGTTCATGGCCATTGGTGCGGCTGCTGTGGAGCAGCAATCTTATGCTTATCATCCCCTGCAGGGGCCACAAATGTGTTCAGCACCTGATGTGTCTGTTCGTCATCACTAGCATTTGGGCCCAATTCAATGAAGACATAGTTCAAAAAATGAAAAGAAAACATTTTGATGTCAGTGATGGGGAAATCACTGTGGGAACTGCCTGCAGTGGCTGGGGCAGTGAGTTATTTGCTTTGAAAATGCTGGATCGCAACTTTTGCAGTCGCCTGGTGACCGTTTGTAATACTTTGAAGTTGGGTCATGGTTCTTGTTTCAAAACAAAACAGTTTTCATGGAGAGAATCCTAGGCTTATTCAGCTGTGATTGTGACCAAAGTTGCCGCATTCTACATGGAGCAGTGCATGGCAGCCATTTTGTGTACAATGATGTGTTTCTTAGACTTTGTTTGGAGTGTGTGTTTTTTCCTTTTGGTTGGTGGCTCTTTGACATTTGCTGGCCAAAAAAATCTGTGCTGGCCAGATTGCCACCGATCCAGGTTTGATGCTTCCTTCATGTCAAGTCCTTCTGTCGACATCTTTATGGCAGGCTTTCCATGCCAGCCATTTAGCAGAGCCGGGTTGGGACATGGGACTTTGGATCCTCGTGGCACCGTAGTGTTCAGACTTATCTCCTGGATCGAAGTGCACCTTCCAGTCATCTTTGTACTGGAAAATGTGATCGGACTATTGGAGCGGCGCGAAGACACTTTTGTTGAGATCTTGGAACTCTTGGTCAAAATTGGTGAGTATGAAATCTCATGGGCTGTGCTTGGGGCTCACACACATGGGAATGTTCCACAGCACCGGCAGCGAGTTTTCATTTGTGGAATTCTTCGAGAACATCAATCAAAGGAGCTTGCATGGCCAAACGCAATTCCTCTGAGCACCTCACTCTCTGACTTCATGGATGACGATGGCGACGATCAGCATGACGAAGTCGTATGGCCTACACAAAAGACTTACAGACGCAACTTGCTGAAGGCATATGAAGCGATTGTGACCACAACTGGGGAAAACCCACTGCAGGAACATTATGTTGTTGATGTTGGCTGCGGCCCCTCGCGACAACCATGCTGCTAAACTAAATTCACCGCTAGGTCATTTTGTCTCATTGTAAATGTTACATGTTGTTTTTGTTTCGAAACTGTGACTCAATAGTTTGTCCCCAACCAGTTCTCAGGCTTCATGAAGGGTGTGAGTCCGTGTCTCACGAAGTCTCGCGCGGAAGATTGTGGTTATTGGCTGTCATGGAAAAACCGTTTGATCACAACGAATGAGATTGTACGGCTTATGGGGGTGTGGCCTGAAGACATACCCCATGGAATTGTGTCTGATCGCTCACTCCGCAAAATGGCAGGAAACGCGGTTGTTGTTCCCTTGCTGGCCCGGCTTTTGAAACAACTGCTGGATGCGGCCGATCTGTAGCAAGTCGTGTCATGGCATCCCAATGGCCATGGACAGTGACACTATTCAGAAAATTGACAACACAAAGTCAATCTAGGAGCAGCATGGCCATGGACGTCCTGGCGTTCAAAATTAGGAATCAATAGCAATGCGACAATTTGCTTAGCACCAACTGTTGGCAACAAAAGAGGACATCCGTCGGGCAGTCTCATGAGAGATGACCTGCAGGGAAGTGAAGCAAACACTTTTACAAATAACATTTTGAGAAAACCACATAGATAGCTCTATTTGGAACTCCAGGCCTTCTTTTTGCCAAGAATTTGCGAAAAAATCGCTGCCAATTCCCTCGAAGATAGCTCCTGATGGAGGTATTTCTTGTTGGCCTTGATGAGTTTGGCCCGCTGCTTTCCACTCAGGTTTGTCTTCTCCAGGATGCTTTGTCTGCCGTTTATCTTCACCATCCCATCCTGGTTGAGGCGCACTCTCTTCCCTTGACGTTTTTTTTTGCCTTTCAGCATTCAACTTCATGTTCCAACCATGCTGCAAACGATTCACGGTCATGTCCTTCTCCAGCTCGGTATAGGCAAACATCACTCGCCTCAGAAATTTTTGGGCAGGATTCGGATTGTGGTCACATAGGTCTGGCAGATCCACTGGCACGATCTGGATGTCAAGCTCTTTACTCTTTTCGTAGATAGATTCTGCCACACTAGCGTTCCGAGCAAGTGCCCGCGATCCTTCCACAATCAATTTTTTGATTTGTTGCTTGCCACACTGTTCCATCAGGTCATTGAACACAGGGCGTTTCTTCAGAGGCAAGCTCCCTGAGATCACTTCGCAAATCTTGTAAGCCACCTTTGTTTTGTCAGCTGTGCATTTTTGTTGGCACACTTTCGTTTGCCGAGCGATGCCTGAACCATTTTTTTGGGTTTTGGAACTGGCTCGTGCATAGATTGCAGCTGCAGCTTTCACCATGGTTCGCGCAGGCCTTGATGAGCCACTATGGCACGTTCCCTCAATGGGTGTTCGGGGAAAGGGTGAAATTGTGTCCTTCTTGTAAAATGTTTGCCACATTCTCCTACCATGTTGCTCTTGGGCCCTGGTGTCTCGAAAACAGTGTCCCATGTCTTGAAAACTTAGGTATTCAGGACGCTGCTGTACAGCAGTGCGGGTATTCAGGACGCTGCTGTACAGCAGTGCGGAATATTATAAAGTTTTCCGGACGCTGCTGTACAGCAGTGCGGGTATTCAGGACGCTGCTGCACAGCAGTGCGGAATATTATAAAGTTTTCCATGAGACTGCTGCGCAGCAGTGTTGAAGACGGGTCACTAAACAAACTGCTGCACAGCAGTGTTGAAGACGGGTCACTAAACAAACTGCTCTCCAGCAGCGCTAGTGTTGTGATTTTCTACAGCAGTGCGGAATATAGCGTTTTCCATGAGACTGCTGCACAGCAGTGTTGAAGACGGGTCACTAAACAGACTGCTGTCCAGCAGCGCTAATGTTGTGATTTTGAACGCGTTTAAATAAATGGGCAGTGTCTGCGCCAGCCAGAACAAAGTCAATGCCTGTCAGGACCCACACGCCTTGGCAGCAGCGACCATGTTGGCACAGAACCTTGGCTGTGGTGAAAATCATGAGTTGGCAAAACATCAATGCCAGGTTAATGCCATAACCCAGTTGTAAGTGAGTCAGTGCTCACCAATCAATGTTCTTAATCACACACAGTCACTGCCCAGTGCGCAAAGCCCTTTTCACTGCTCCGTGCGCGAAGTCTCTTCCTCTCTTTTCCATCTTTTTTTCCTGGCGATGAGTTTTCACAATGACGTCAAGTGTTGCTGGACAGCAACCGACACAGAAAATTAGTCTATCGTTGCTGGACAGCAACTCTAAGTCTAGTTAAATTAGTCTATCGTTGCTGGACAGCAACTCTAAGTCTAGTTAGTTGCTGCTGGACAGCAGCCCTGATTTGTTGCTGGACAGCAACTGTAGTTAGTTGCTGCTGGACAGCAGCCCTGATATGTTGCTGGGCAGCAACTCTAGTTAGTTACTGCTGGACTTGCTGGACAGCAACACGCAACGCTGCTGCACAGCAGCCTGGTCAACACACAAATTAAGTCGGCAGTGTGGCCTCTGCTCTTCCGCTTCATCTTCATCTGCCTTTCTTTTTTCGGTCTTCTCTTTGCTCTCCTCGTCCTTCTTTGGGTCATCATCTCTCTGCTGCTGGGCCTTTTTTTTCCCTTTCAGCACGCCTGTCTGCAAGCCTTTGCATTTCTTCCTTCATCCTTCGCTCCAAGAAGGCCTTCTGCCTGTTTTTGTTGTTCTCCTCTGGTTTCTCCTTCTCTTCTCTGTCTCGTCGTGCCTGTCCAGCAGATGAGTTGTCTCCTTCCTGCTCCCTTTCGGCTGGGTGTCGCCCTTGTAGGCAGAGGTCCACAATCACCCTGGAGCAGAGGACCAGGATCTCTAGCTTGCGGAGCATCCTCTCCCATTGGCGCGCTGTGTATGAGGGAGGTCGAGCCATGGGCCTGGTGGTTCAATTGATGGGATGCGCGTCAATACCGAAAGTTTTAAATGCTTTGCCCTCACTAAGTTGTTTCATTGTTATCTGAGTGGGAAGATTCGATCAGGTTGTTCCTTCATGCCGGACGATCTTTGTTGGGAAGATATATAGTGTTATTTTTTTGTGATTTTTCATCTCTTGCAGTCTTTGTGTCTTCTTTGATTTCTCTGTAGCTGGTGCAGGGGCTCTTCCCTTGAATCCAAACACTGCAACAACCAAGAGATGGTTATATATGTGTTGCAGTATGTTTTTTGATTAGCCTTCTAGTCTTTTGAGTAGCCAACATGGAGTCGTTTCACAGCAACTCTGGCACATGTGTTGCCGAACAGCAACCCGGCATCGGCCTTGCGCATCCAAGGATCCCCACGTTGGCCTTGCAGCCCGACTTTCTGCAGGGCACCTCAGTTGCCAGAACACTGTTGCTGTTCAGGTAAGTCAGGCCACAACATTGGGCCATGTGTGCACCACTGCTGGACAGCAGTGATTGAGGTTTCATTTCACGCTTTGTCTCAAGGATGAGGGTGCGATGGAACTTTAAAAACAAAGAAAAGGCATTCAACCCAGCAAAGGAAGCAAAGAACACACCTGCAATTGAACATAGCTTCACACCCCCAAGGTGACGTCCAGATAAAGACAGAACCAAGCATCATCAAGCGCAGAACACAATGAAACCGATCATTTCTTGCTTTTGCAAACAACCGCCATGGGATATGGTGGCAAAGGACGGC